GGACCACAGGACGGATTATCTGTTTCGCCGGGACAAAGAAAAAAAGACTTGCCTTTCTCGTGCGGCCAAAGATTCGATGGATTCCTCGATGTCCCGTAGATCTTCGTACGCCTTCGATATATCAGCGCTCAGTAAACCCAAATCCATTGGCGGTGTACCTAACTGAAAAGTAATTACAGTCACCGTTAAGCAGCGCCCTGCACAATGTACACCATACAGTACTAAGCAAGTGCACAGAGGACAGCTCAGTCTCAACCACTCAGCCCACCCTCCCCCCACCCAAACAAACCTTACGCCAACACAACACGTCCATACTACTCACAACGCAATCCGCACGATCCACGCAGTGGTCACCTGCAATTACTAAACTTCGGTCAGCTTGGTCGACACTGTGGAATGAACGCACCAGTTTCTCTGCTGACACTATTTCGCGACGTCACTTGCCGATACCAATCGGCACCTCGCCAACGAGCGCCCCATACCGCTACCTAGTTTGATGTGTAGGTCGCGTGATTGGAGGAGGGGATTAGGGGCAGGTGGGTGTCGCGATGCAGTTCCGGGGGGACGTATTGGGGACTGGATATAGGAAGGGTGCAGGGGCGCCAGTCAGAAGTTCGAGGCAAGAACTGGAGACAGCAATAAAGAGAGAGATAACGGAGCAGTGCAAGGAAAAATTAAAAAGGCCTCGACTTGTAAAATAATTAGCCAACGCACGGGCTGCCCGTGCGAAGATGCGTTTTTTGCATAGTTCCCCGCAGTTTTTGTCGCTATCGGCACGGGTTTTTTCGGCAAATGCTTCTGGCTAAACAAATTAAGACTGGCCGCCAGAACTGCCAGGAAACATTCCCTTAAAATTTCAGCTTTCTAGCTTTTCTGACTCCCGAGTTAGCAATTTAGTGGAAGAAAATTTTCACGAATCTGCACGTGGGTATCACGCATACATGGAGGCTGGGTTTGAGCTCATTAATACCTACTTGGACGGGGGACATCTCCCTAAGATTTCAGCACTCTAGCTTCTCAGATCCCCGAGTTATGAACTTACCCGAAAAAAATTTTGGCGGGCCCGTACATGGCTATCACGCTTACCCGTGGGCTGGGTTTGAGCTCTTTAATACCTGCTTGGACGGGGAACATCTCCGTAAGATTTCAGCATTCTAGCTTCTCAGATCCCCGAGTTATGAACTTACCGAAGAAAACTTTGGCAGGCCCGTACACGGCTACCACGCTTACTCGTGGGCTGGGTTTGAGCTCATTAATACCTACTTGGACGAGGAATGCCCCCTTAAAATTTCAGCCTCCCACCATTTCTAGTCCCCGAGTTAGCAATTTACCCGTAAAAAAATTTGGCGGGCCCATACGCGGGTCACGCTTACCCGGGGGCTGGGTTTCAGCTCATTAATACCTACTTGGACGGGAAACATTCCCTTAAGATTTCAGCTTTCTAGCTTCTCCGATTTCCGAGTTATGAACTTACACGAAAAAATTTTGGCGGGCCCGTACGCGAGTACTACGCCTACCTGGGGGATGGGTTTCAGTTCATTAATAGCTACTTGAACAGGGAACATCCCCTTAAAATTTTACCCTTCTAACTTTTCTGGTTCGCGAGTTAGCAACTTACCCGTAAAAAACTTTGGCGGGCTCTTACGTGGGTACCACGCGGCAAGACCACCCAATTTGGGGATGGGGGTCTGTACGTGCATGTAGATTAAGTCCCCAAAGTTTCAGCCCTGTAGCTCTTGTAGGTCTCGAGATGAAA